AAAATGACACAAAAAGGTAAGGATAGTATTAGACTAGTGACAGTTGCAGAAGAGGAATCAGTCAGGAGCTATTAACAGTTTAATTGATACGCTTTTATGAAGAAGTGGGTTTTTAACGATTTTTTGAAGGAGTGGAGACTGGGTGAGCATCTAATGGAGGAGGGAAGCGAGTTCCACAGGAACGGTGCAGCCCTTGAGAAATCTTGAAGGCGAGCATCAGAGGTGGGAGTACGGACAGAAGATAGACGTAAGTCTTCAGCAGATCGTAAGGGCCTAGACGGGACATACTTGTGTATAAGGGAGGATAGATAGGTGGGAGCAGCATTATGTAGAGATTTGAAAGCAAGAACCAGAATTTTAAATTGAGCTCTATATTTTATAGGAAGCCAATGTAGGGACTGACAGAAGGGTGAGGCATGGGAGGTGCGGGCGGACAGGAAGATGAGCCTTGCCGCCAGATTCATTATGGACTGTAACGGCGCAAGTTGGGAGCACGTAAGACCACTGAGAAGCGGATTACAGTAGTCAAGGCGAGAAAGGACAGTGGAATGGACCAACACCTTAGTTGCATCCGGCGTTAAGTAGGGGCGGATGCGCGCAATGTACACACACACACGTTGTATATGTGTGTGTAAATATAAATACATATACACACACACACTTATTATATGTATATGTGTGTGTAAATATACATACATACATACATACACACACACATAATATATATTTGTGTTCGGGGCCATTACAGTATAGTATGAAACCGACGTGTGTGGTAGGCCTGTAAATAAGTGGGCCTACCTTAAATAGTATTGAATAGAGGGAGAGGAGAGTGGGCCAAAAGAACGTCTGGACCAGCAGGTAAGTTAGGTAAGAGGGGGAGACCCTTTTAAAGGGACATAGCCCCTCCCGCAACTTCAGGCCCCGCCTTCCAATTTGTGTTTGGGGCCATTACAATATGAAATAGCAAGTGAGTATACTTATCACAATAATAATAATAGTCGGTAGAGGTGTGCCGAAACCGACGTGTGTGGTAGGCCTGTAAATAAGTGGGCAAAAAGGAATACCCATATAGTGTTATCAAAGATATTCATTACGAAAACACAAGACATGGAGTTAGCGTATTACGATGACATTTCCCAAATACATTCCTTAATTCCTGTGTCGGCTAAGGTATGCTTTGTAGGTGGGGTAGTACTGCATAAGTACCTCGTGACCCCTCTGGCTGGTCTTAGTTGATGGTAAGCTATTAATACGTAGTGATCCTGTATTTGTACAGCTTAGAATACAGTAGGCAAAGATTGGAATCGTGTTGCCCTGTTGCCCTGTGAAAATTCTCTGGGTCATAGGAAACCATAAAAGCCAAGTATATGGCGGTTTTTTAGAATGGTGTATTCTATGAAGGCCAACTGTGTGAATTCTTGCTGTGAATTAGCAACTCTTCTATTCCATAGGTAATTCTTGGAGTTGGGGAGCGATCGTGGCTATTGGTGAGGTATTCATAAGGGACCTCCTGAACACCTGAAACTGAACACTAGTTAACTGGTCAGTTAGCAGCTATATTTAAATGCCTGGTACGTGGTAACATACCAGATAAAATATTTGGTGACAGGCTTTCCCTACGTTAGTCGTCTGATGAAATCATAATAATGGATACAAGACCGAACTTGTTTATGACGTGGCCAATTGACAAATTGTCAGAGACCTTGAACCGGTCTGCTTCCCATGAATGACCCCATGTTGCTGCCGCGGCTACGATGGGATATACCTTGAAGCATGCCGAGTTCTTAAGGAACCCTTTGATCTGGCTTGTTTCCAAGCCTCCTACCCCATAGCCAACTGTCCCCTGAGATTGCCGCAAGCCCTGTGTAAGCCGCTGCATTGGGGTTACTACATATGTAGATGACCCTAGTTAAAGACATATATACGTATAGGGAAGAGACGCCTAAATACATCATGCCTAGGTGAGTTCCCGCTGGGCGTCCTTCTGCTAGAAGAACCTGAAATATGTATTAAGTATGTGGGACATTTCTTAGTTTACCAGTGGGAACTGATATTGGAGATCACGTAAGTGTCTGTGACTGGAGTTGTAAATGCTGAGAAAGGGCCATATAGGGAAGAATTGAGTGGTCCAACGTAACCTTGGTCACTCTGGTTGCTCGCAGTGGTCGTATGTAACATGAGATTGATGGCTTAGTGTGGGCCACGTGTCGAGGCATGCTGTGGTAGGTTGTGACCAAATTGCAACTTATGTCAAAATTTTAATTCCTATGCCGTATGTAATAGCCCAAATGAGGGGCTGCCATTTATGCTATAGTGAATAGCCCTTTGGCGGGTCGTATGCAACATATAGAAGAGTGTGGTTATGCATAAAATTGGCCGTGGTATGATAAGGTTATGGTTGTCCTTGTAAACAGGAATTATTAACAGCCTAGATGCTGGGTAAGGCCGTACAATATCCATTGCACGTGCATAGATAAGGTGGTAATTTGTACCATGGTTACCCGAGCAGTCAAATAGCCAGGAAAGCGGGAAGGACAGTATATTATGATGTATATGAACTGGTCTAATACGCAGTGATGATGTGGGAATAGTTCAGTATGGAATTGATTATGTAAGCCCTTTGGCGACTGGCTAGAACGGTCGACCCCGGGAAACTTAAAAGACCCACATGATAACTTCAGTATGTATCATAATGTATGTGGCATGTGCGTTTGTCGTAAATCGACAATATGCTAGACTGAAGTAGTACACCTAGAGGTAGGGGGAACATCTGTAATGCAGAAATTATTACCTTCTGTGCATTTGGCCAGGAGTAGGCCGTGTAGGTAGGGTAGTGAGGCGAGCTACTGTGTGGCCGTATGTGGACAGTGCAAGATATAGCGGAAGTATAATACTATGAGACGTGGTTGATTTATAGGTAGAAAGCTGTGAGATAGCTGCACTTAACGCATACATTCCTATTCAGCTGAAATGTGAAGTAAGTGCCGAAATGAGGGGTTGCAAATAAGACGTATTAGTCCACTAAGGTTACCTGAATTATGTTGCAAAGGCCCCTAGATGGCTTGTGTGAGGACTATGCATAAGAGGTTGAGAGTGGCCCTATGTAGTTCTTGTGGTGCTGGGAGGGAACGTCAGTTTGAGTGGAATTTTACTGGGGTGGGGTTGGTGTTTTATTTTAAGTTGTAGAGCATTTCAAAGTTACTGGTTATGACAGCATAGCCATAACTGAAATATGGTCATACTGATATCTTGTAGTAACTTTCAGCGTAACATATGATGTAGGGTCTGCACGGGGAACATGATAGAGGTGCTGAAAAGCCATAACTAAATATACTATACACTGTTGAGTCCAGTGACCTGAGGTAGACGTACTGGACACAATTGCCAAGAATATAGGCTGAGACCTGTGGAGTGCAGTAGTATCTGTACTGATCCCAGACCATGAAGGTTATAATTATACTGATGATTAATTTAACTCTGTCATGTGTCTCTGGCCTTAAGGACCACTAAGATATAGCCCTAGGTGTATGAGCGGTTCTCTGTGACATCCTGGGGAGCAATGAAAAGCGAGATGAGATTAACGTCCTTGCCTTCCAGGATGTCCTTTGAGATCTGTCGGCACCATAGGCTTGGGGTAATGACTTGAGACCATAAGATGATGGCGTATTGGTATTACAGGGTTGGGAATGGGTAGGCCCGGACTATCGGTGCGCGTGGTACAGGTGTAGAGACTGAGCAGCTACAGGCTTCCAGTGTGTCTAGTATATTGTTCCTCTGCCCCATGGATGTTACTCCAGAGGCAATCCTGGTATGCAGGTGGCCTTGCTCGTGCCACATGCGCCATCCCCTGTGTCTGTTAGTATTGCTTTGCCTTAGCCTGAGTAGTTCTTTTTTGCGGGCAGTATTTGTAAAGGATGTGCTGCCCTGCGTAACTCGGTCGTGATTCGTGGGGAGGTCCACGATCTAATTGAAGATGGACTGCTGTTGTCCCCTATGCATGTAGGTTTGGTAGTGCTAGGTGGAGTACTTGGAATATCAATGTCATCTCATTCTTCTGGAACTTTGGACAAACTGAAATATATATATATATATATATATATCTATATATATATATATAGATATATATATATATATATATATATATATATGTAGAAATCATGAGTATCTCTTGAGGGTGTATACAGTTGTTTTAACTAGTGCCCAAGTGGCGAAACAATTCGTTAGACTGGTGACCGGTGAGTCCCTACTAGTTGCCAAGTGGCTGGGTCGGTTTTACCTATGGTTGGCGCGAGGGGCTGAACTGCTGGATGTGGGCTTACAAGACCTGAGTCTTTGATCTGCGGATGGGGTGTGACAGGTGATTCCCTTGCTAAGCAACATGTGAGGCATCTAGCTATGATTTGGCCTGTGGGGCATTATTACTTATTTCGTGGAGGATGGGTGTTGGTCTCGCAGGACCTCTATCTCTAAGGTACCTGGGAGAAAATACCTAG